AAATCGATCAAATATTTGTAGAAATAAGTTTTCTCATGTCTTAAATAGAAAAACCCCAAGATTTAAACAGCTTAAAACTGTTACAATTGCAAGATTTATTGAACATTACAAACGCCATTTTCTTTTATATCTTTAAAGCGCCCTAAGATATGCTTTAGCGATACTAGGGCAGGACCTATTTTGGGAGATATGACCAATATATTCTGTATATAAAAGCTATATTTCAGTCAAATTTTGTATCTATATCGTAATTTAGTAATAAGTAATGTGTGTTTAAGTGATTTTCGGAAGGGAACCTTGTATGGGACCGATCGCACACATATTATGAACCGATCGTGAAAAAAATCTTAAAATATAATTTTTTTATACAAAACTAATATTTGTGCAAAATTTTGTATCAATTTCGCTTTATCAAAATGAGTAATGTGCGTTTAAGAGATTTTCGTAAGAGGACATTGTATGGGAGCTATGACCAATTATGTATATAAGAGCCATATTTGTGCTAAATGTATGTATATCAATATTTGGTAATGAGTTATGTGCGTTTAACTGACTTTCGGGAGGGAACCTTGTATGGCAGCTATGACCAAATATGAACCGATCGTGAAAAAATTTTAAAATAATATTTCTATGTACAAAAATAGTATTTATGACAAATTTTTTTATGGATATCACTATTTGGCAGAGACTGAAAATAACGGGTCCACTTTGTTTTTATATGGTTATTTGCTGCGATCACCTTTTATAATTGTGTTTTTGCAGTTTATCTGAGAGAAACCTTTATGTTAGATTTTTTTTTGATAGGTGGTTGAGAGAAACCGAAAATAGCGTGCTACAATTGATTTTTATTTTGTAAACATTTTTGAAAAGGTCTGCTTATGATTTTTATTTTTAAAAGCAAAACATACACACATACTACCTTCAGAAGCAGCGTTGCCACTTTGGTCCAATTGGACCAAAATTGGTAGTTTCAAATCTCTGAAATGACTTTTGGTAGTTTGGTTAGTAGGCTTAAATTTTGGTCCAAATTTGGTAGGATTAGATAATTTTGATCTCATGCATATGAATTTATAAACATTTCTGATCTTGTTATGGCAAAGTAATAAGAATTTTAATAAATACGTCAATCTTAAGTTTATCCTTGTTAAGTTTATATGGTTTGTTCTAAGAAAATATTAAGTTTCTATGTATTTCAACATTTCTGATTCATGAATGTTAGTAAGTTAGTTAGTTTGAAATGAGGATGTTACATAAAATCGGAAGGAATACTCTAGGCTTGCATCGTTGATTGAACGCACGACGTCAGGTCTGACTATAACATAAACCACTAACCTACTGGAGGCCACACTAATTCATTTTTTTCTAAGAAGCCAGATTCATGAATGAATATATTATTTGGTGGGACTACTATCTTACAAACGGAATAACAAAATTAATATATCTTTTTGTTTGATATTGTAATTCCGTTTGTAAGTATATATTTTTTTCAGGTTTTTTTTTTTCAGCCATGTCCGCCCGTCTGTCTGTTGAAGCAGTTTTTTAAGAACCGAAATCTATGTCGATTGGTCCACAATTGATCCCCTTTTAGCAAATTAGTTAACCGTAGTATAATAAAAGGATTTATCCATCCTCAATTTATACGATAGATGCTGATGGTGGATATACATATATGATTCGTCATAGCCGAATATAATACTATTACTATTTTCTCGGGAATGATTTTGGTACAAATTTTGTCGAAAACAGCAATTATGTGTTTCATAACTATATAGAACCAAAGTGTTTAGAAATTTTGTCTAATTACGTAAAAGTAAACCATTGATTCTTTGGAACAAATCATTGTATGATATTACATATTAGTTTTAAAAATAATGAAACTCTAAACAGAAGCAATTGTCCCTAAGGAAAAGTTTGGTAGTTTTTGGAACGTTTTGGTAAGAAAAATAAATTGTAAGTGGCAACGCTGTTCAGAAATCATAGAAAACAACAACAATATACTCTCCCACTCTCATATAAGCAAGAGAAAAAAGGAATACAAAAACCAAGTGCTCAGCATAAACATAAGTAACAAAACAAAAGTAGTAAAGGTTATACAAAACCATTTAAGTAAAAATCATTTTATAACTGTTATTCTGAGTGATTTATTTTAAAAAACAAAAATAAATCACAATTCAATCACTTAGGTTATGTGGCCCAGTTATTTTTAGTCTCTTCTATTTCGTAATGAGTTGTGTGCCTTTAAGTGTTTTTCTAAAGGGGACCTTGTATGGGAACAATGACCAATTATGGACAAATCGGAAAAAAATTTCACAGTAGCTTTTTTGTATATAAGAGCAATACTAGTACCAAATTTTATATGTATATCTTAATTAAGTAATAAGTTATGTTCGTTTAAGTGATTTCCGGGAGGGGACCTTGTATGGGAGCTATGACCAATTATGGGCCGATCGGAAAAATATTCCACAGTAATATTTTTGTATATAAGAGAAATACTTGTACCAAATTCTATATGGATATCATAATTTAGTAATGACTTATGCGAGTTTGATTTTCGGGAGAGGACGTTTTATGGGAGCTATGTCCAATTATGGACCGATCTAGAAATTTTTTTCTCTTTATGAATTCTATTGACATAGAATTTTAATTTGTAAAATTTTGTTAAGACATCAACATTCTGAGGGAAGTTATTAACAATAAACTCATTTTCCGGGAATGTGTACTTTCGTATGGGAGGTATAAGAAATTGTGGACCGATTCCGCCAATTTTCAACAGGAATAAAGTTCTCATGTAAAATCAAATATATGATAATTTTTATGGAATTATATTGCATAGTTTTAGTGAAAATTACGTCAGAATGTGTTAAAATGCTTATTTTTTCTGAGTTGTTTTAAATTTTGATTCATAACTTTTCCCGATGTAAACCGATTTTGCTCATTTTCAATACCAAACTGCCTAAGACAATAGGGAATAGGCAATAATTAATAACATAATTTCAATAATTTATTTCACTTCGTTTTTAAGTTAGCGTGTTTTAAACAGACAGACGGACGGACATAGATAAATCGACTCAGAATTTCATAAGGGCCAAGAATATACATTTACTTTGTTGGGTCTCAGATGAATATTTCTTGGTGTTACACACGGAATGACAAATTTATATATACCCTCTATCACCACTGATGGTGGTGGTGGCAACAACACTGCTTATTCATTGCGTTGTGTATTTTGTTTTTGGTTTTTTGGGTATTTCCCCTGAAAGCAATTTTGTAGTCGACTACGAGCAAAATTCACTTCAAGTTTACTTTTACAGACTGTCTATAAGCTAACTACAATGTAATGCAGAGCTGTCCCGAAATTTTGTATTTGGCAACGTAAAGAACCTACTTTTAAAGACTAACTACAAGCTACCTATCATGTAATGCAGAAGTATCCCAAGATTATCTGGAGAGAATTAATAAGAGAATAACATGTTTTCTCTTGTTTCTCTATTATTATGATTTTATTTGTTAACTTTAGTAGACTGACTATAAACGAACAACAATGTAATGCAGAAATGTTCCAAAGATAGATATTTATTACGACTTTTAAAAACTAGCTACAAGCTAACTATAATATAATGCAGGAGTACCCCAAAATTTAGCAAATTTTTTATTAACTAACTTTAAGCTAGTTGAAAAGTCATGCAGAGTCGGACAATTGACTTCTGCGTAGGACATCGCCATGTTAAAATAGTCAGTTGGCTCCATTTTGTTTTCCTATTGCTATAATAATGATATAGTTGGGAAAATGAAATAAATTTAATAAAATTGATATTTTTATACCCTCCACCACCATCAGTGGTGGAAGTGAAATAATTTATTTAAATTTGACCAGAATATTCCCTATTGTGCTAGGCAGTTTGGTATTGAAAAGGAGCAAAATCGGTTTACATCGGGAAAGGTTATGAATCAAAATTTAAAACAACTCCGGAAAAAATAATCATTATATTTCACTAAATCATTAATTTTCACTAAAACTATGCAATATAATTCCATGAAACTCATCATACATTTGTTTTTACACTAGAGCTTTATTCCTGTTCAAAATTGCCGGAATCGGTCCACAATTTCTTACACCTCCCATACGAAATTACATATTCCTGGAAAATGAGTTTATTGTTAATAACTTCAACTTCAGAATGTTGATATCTTAACAAAATTTTACAAATTAATGTCAATAGAATTAATATAGAGAAAAAATTTTCTAAATCGGTCCATAATTGAACATAGCTCCCATACAACGTCCTCTCCCGAAAATCACTTAAACGCGCATAACTCATTACTAAATTAAGATATCCATATATAATTTGGTACAAGTATTTCTCTTATATACAGAAATATTACTGTGAAGTTTTTTTTCCGATCGGTCCATAATTGGTCATAGCTCCCATATAAGGTAACCTCCCGAAAATCACTTAAACGCTTATAAAAGAAAATGGCGTTTGTAATGTTCAATAAATCTTGCAATAGTAACAGATTTAAGCTGTTTAAATCTTGGGGTTTTCCTATTTAAGACATGAGAAAACTTATTTCTACAAAAAAGTAGTAATATAAAAGTAGTTGGTGGAGGGTATTTAAGATTCGGTTCAGCCAAATATGGCACTCTAACTTGTTTAAATACACTATGGTGAAGGGTATATAAGATTCGGCACAGCCGAATATAGCACTCTTACTTGTTTTATTTTAATAATTTCATACACTGTTTGTTGTATATTCACAAAAATTAGACATACGGAAAGATAACAAATTAAATTTTTAAGAAAAGTGGATATAAACCATAAGAAATAGAAACCTGTGAATTGAATAGATCGATCTTCAAATTTTACCCAAAAAAATACCCTAACTCAAGTTATTTTTATTTTGTGATATACGTGAAGACAATTCCGGGACGACGATGTATTTGAGTTTTAATTTCACAATAAATTTCAAATGGTTCAACAGATTTTAACCTTTACGATTCATATCCGATAAGCTATAATTCGATTTGACTAAAATTTTCAGCGTTGAAATATTATACCAAGGGTTATTTCGATTTGTTTTTTAAAATTGCGGTTCAGCCCTTTACAAAAGGTAAATCGGAAAAAATTACTTACGGCCATACCTAAATTAAAGCGTTGAGCGTTGCGTTACTTGTAATTTGTTTTTGTTTTTAACAAATTTGTATGGAACTCAACGCTTTAATTTATGTATGTTAATGTGTTTATTTGAAACGTGTATTTGTGTATTGTATAATGTAGGTTTGTGTGTATTTGTGTCATTATTAAAAAATGTTATACTATTGTTGCTGCCGGTTCTGCTGCTGTTTATGCTACTCTTAAATAACTATAATTTCATAATACGTATGTTAAATAATTTCAGAATAATATTGATCCACTCAGTCGTCATCGCGAGATTCAAAACCAATTGCATTACTCTCATTTGCAAATTCCGACTCTGATATACTTTCAGCGGGATAGTAATTGCTATTGCTACTGCTTGTAGTTGGAGTGGCACGATCTATTAAATTAGAGTTGCATTCTTCCATTTTATTAATGCCAGCTGCTACTGCAGCAGCGGCTGCTGCAACGGCTACTGCTTGACCCATGTCCTGTAGTTGATAGGCAGCGGTAACTGCTGCTTGCACTTCATTTTCGCATTCGGGAGAATGATGACAGGGTGGTCGTGCGGAACCTGGAATATTCGCACCGGGAGAGCCTGTGCCGCGGCACCACAATTGTCGCATCTCTGCTCGTCTGTTACGCATAAGGACTTTGTATTCGGAAATTCTCATTTTTTTGCCATCTACAATGCATGTGCGCTTTGGCCTAGGTCGATATCTGTAGTCTGGATGTTGTTCCATGTGGAGTTTTGAAAGACGAGACTGTTCTTCGTAATAGGGCTGTTTATCGGCATTTGACATGGCTTTCCAGCGGGCTCCCAATATTTTCGATATATTCGAATTATGCATGTCGGGGCATGCTTTAAGAATTTTCCGACGCTCATCCTTAGCCCAAACCATGAAGGCATTCATGGGTCGTTTTATATGTTGCTTGCTGTGATAGCCGTGTCCGTGGCCATGACCATGCCCATGATTGCTACTGGTGTCCCGGTTATTGCTGCAACTTTCACGTAGATTGGAATGGATATCTTGTGTTAAGAACGTAGCAGGTGAATCTGCTTGTTTAGCTCTACTAGCCGGCTTAAGTTCCTGATGAACAGCAGGGCTAAATTTGTCCGCAATTCGTTTTCCAGTACATGTACTGGTGGAATCCCGACTATTACGAGCAACTCGTGTAACCGATATATTTTCAATGTTATTAAAAGGTGCTATCGTATCGGGTTCATGAGTTTCTGGGTTATTCCAAACGTGGATGGAAACAAAATTTGTATCAGCGTTTGATGACGAAGATGATTGCCAATGCAATGGAGAATCACAGTTTGAAACAGGAGTCAGGCGATCATCTTCTCGCTTTATTAAAATGGCGCTGTTAATAGCCGCATCAATAGATGATCTTGATGAATACTTTGGTTTTGACAAGTTCAAGGGAGCATCTGTGCCATCCTCATCATCCAAGGACTCCTCTTTACTTGTTAAAACAACATCCTCCTGAGCTGAACAATTGGAGTTAGATCTCGGGCTATTGAATCCATTTGAGCTAGACATAAGATCGTTATCGTCATCCATGGATGATGTATCGACCTGCATGTTTTCAATGACATCATCTGGAGAACAAGGCGCTGGCGAAGGGCATTCGCTATTGTTGTTATTATCATTATTATTGTTATTTACATTATATAAAGGTGTGGAAGGCGGTGTAGTCGTACTAGCCACCACATCAACAAAGTTTAATTCCGAACCTAGGCTATGTAACACGTTCTTGCTTCCAATGCCATATTCATGCGGCAACATTGACCCATTCTCAACAGTTGTTGAATTATTATTGTTAGTCATCTTATTCGCTTGCTCGACGTCGTTATTGGTATTGTTGGAGTCATTGTTGACTGCAACTGCCGCTACTGCCAATGCGGCCTGTAAATGCGCTGCTGCTACAGCAGCCGTAGACCACATCGGTTGCATTGTCATCTTGTTATGTTGCGAGGCATGGAGGGCGTGTGTATGCAATACTGCGGGAAGGTTGCTAGCTGCCGCCGCTAGATGCGACGAAGGTGGTGGGGGAGGAGGTCTTAAAAATGCAGGTAAAAATGGCACGATTGTTGCTGCTGGTGTTGGTTGTTGCTGTATGGTAGTTTGTGTTGTGAAACTTGTATGCTGTGCGACAGCACATAACTGGGAATTCAACTGATGCTGTAATTCCTGGAAACAATTTTCCTGTTGCTGATGTATGCACTCTATTTGTTCTTGGTTGTGATGAAGATTACCATCTAAATTTGTCATGATTTCGAACTGAGTCTGAAATAAGAAAAATATTTTAATAAATTAATTCTTAGTGTAAACTTGTTGGACTTTGTTAATAATTATATTAAATCAATTGTTTGGGGTCAAACAAAATGTCAGTTGCTTTGTGTTCGAATAAGTTATAGTGTTTCAAAACGAAGCAGTACAAAACATTGACCATGTATACTGTTTCAAAACCTCATCGACAAGTATTAAAAACGCAGCAAAATGGCTATACCCTGCCAGCAATTTTGTAGTCGACTACGAGAAAAATTCACTTCTAGTTTACTTTTACAGACTGACTATAAGCTAACTACAATGTAATGCAGAGCTGTCCCGAAATTTTTTATATGGCAACGTAAAGAACCGACTTTTAAATACTAACTACAAGCTAACTATAATGTAATGCAGAAGTGCCTCAAAATTATCTCTTTAGTAGACTGACTATAAACGAACAGCAATGTAATGCAGAAATGTTCCAAAATTTGGTATTTATTAACGTAAACAACCTACTTTTAAAGACTAGCTACAAGCTAACTATCATATAATGCGGGAGTACCCCAAAATTATCTGGAGAGCATTTTGTTTCGACATGTTTTCTCATGTTTCTTTATTATTTGGAATTTTGTTTTACATTTTTGTCATTTTCTTCTATACGTTGTGAAATTAGAGTCAGTAAATTGGAAAAATTAATTATAAAAGGTTAAATATTTCAAAACTCGGTCTCTAAATTCTAAATTCTGCTGATTAATACTGTAAATATAATACATTAACAGTTAACATTACACATAACATTTTAAAATTTATTTTAGATTTCGATCAATGGGAATCATGGAAATAATGAACAAATAATTCATAATTTTATGGATACCGGTGTTATTATTAGTTCCCCTGCAGAAAACTGATGTCTATTAATTTTAACGAACTAATAGCATAACTTGTATTAAAGCGAAATGTAATTTAGATAACTAGTAGTTAAATTTTAAATATATTTAATTAAAATATAATTAATTAATACAGTAGGGAATTCAAAAAAAAACTATTGCTTGACTTTTCTGCAACTAACTTTAAGTTAGTTAATAACGAGTTACCTTTAAGCTAATTTTTTAGTAACTAACTTTAAGCTAGTTGAAAAGTCATGTAGAGTCGGACAATTGACTACTGCGTAGGACCATGTTAAAATAGTCAGTTGGCTCCATTAAAAATAATCCAAGAATCAACCATAACTAGTTGATGAAAAAGTCGGCTTTTAATGCATTTAAAGTTAGTTGAGTTGCTGGCAGGGTATGGCCGCGATCGGCAGACATATACTACCACCTTTTGAGCTTGTATAAGTGTAAGAGCGAAAAAAAAAACAAGAAATGAGAAATAGTTGTACTCTCATTTTCACAACAAGGCATACTTGGAAAACTGAAATTGACAAATAATATTAATCTAAAACAAAACTAATAGTTTTTTAGTTTAAAAGTAGCACATATTTTTTGGGCTTATTTGCACATATTTATTTTAAATATTGAAACAGAAATATGAGCTTTTTAACTAAGTTTTTAATAAAATATATACCTATTAAGGGTAAAGATTTAACATAACTTCATGTATATATTGGTAAATTATTGCAATTTTCTGCTTAAGTTGTAAGAAAAAACATTTATAAAAGTTTATAATTCTAAAAACTACATAATATGTAGTGTAGATGCTAAAAAAGTACAACAATAATTAGAATTATCCATCCCTGCATTAATATATTTCCGTTAATTTTCATTGCAAAAGCAAGAAACGAGCGACAACACAACCTCCTTCAATGACAGCTCATAAGAGACTGAATTGTGCATTCTATTCGTGTGAGTGTCTGTAAATTTAGTAACGGCCAAAATACACAGTGTATAGGAGTTGCCGATCGTGGCTATATGGGCATCAAAGTTGATGCTTGTTGAAATAATTTGCTAAAACATTATATCTTCTACAGTGTGACCAGGTCTCAAAAGATGTTGCGGCTAAATCCCATCCAAAATAATGCTAGAAAAAATGCTAAATTGATTTTAAAATGCCAAAAAAAATGCTAAAATTTTTTTAGTGTTTTTATGAACAATTGATATTAATTTGTAACTGAAATTCATTGTAATTTATAACAAGTAAGAAAGTATATTCTGCCGTAGTTGACCATATGAGTATAAAATTTGATTTATTTTTCGTAATAAAGCATTTATGTTGAATTGAACCTTGGTTTCAATATATTTAAACTAATTTTCTAAGAAAGGCTTTATACATTTGTATATGTATGGGGGCTAGGTAAAATAAAGAACGGACTTTAACCATTTTTAAAAGGTTTTGTCATTGGATCAAAAAGCATACGTGCTTATTGTTTTGAAAATTTCAACCTCTACCAGACGGTCAGACTTACATGGCTTAATCGATTCAGAAAATGATTCTTAACCGATTAGTATACTCAAACGTAGTATAGTGGAGTAGAGTAAAGAATTAAGTTCCGTGGTATTAAGATAAACAGAAATGCTAAAAATTATTTCAAAATTTTTGTAAATTTAGCAATATGTAATGTCTCTAACTTTAAAATATTTCTGAATGCAAAAATTACATTAAAACTATATTAATTACATTAGTTGCTCATGGTATAAAACCTATATGTGTTTCGGGAGGAAAAGTATATTTCTAGTTTTACTTTTTTTTATATAAACAATTTTATTTGTCTTCCTCAAAACACTTTAAAAATGGTTTTCATGTCACAAAAATATTGAAAATTCCGTTGAAATAATTTTAAATCTCGGTGTATAGATGTCAGGTTTATAACTCATACTTCCAAGATTTTTTCGGAAAAATATATATGAGAATGTATGAAATGAATTGAGAGATATATTCAAATCCGTAAGTTTGTAATTCTGGAATAAATTGTCAATAATATTTTCGAAATTTATGTATTTTTTTTAATTAAAAAAAAACGTGACAACAAAATTATTAAAAATGTGGTAAAAATAAAAAGAACAGAAAGTAGGATGAGAAAGTCTTAATTATATATTATTGATTTTTTTCAATACTTATTTTCAATAAATTAACAAGAACTCCTGAAGGATGATAAAAATTAAAACCTCTTTATTTCGTATAGGAAAAAATAAAATTTGTTAATTAACCGTCATACATAGCCTTTTCCAAAATTATATGTTTCATTCCATGAGCAAACAAAAAGTATTAGTTTGTAAAATAGCGTACTGAACGTATTTGTAAAAATTATGAAATCTCTTGAATTATTTCTATCACCTCGAATTTAAAAAAGCATTGGGTTCCAGAAAAATATTTTAGAATACAACATTTTAAAGTATTCACTTGTATTGGCGTAATTTTAAGTTATTTATCTTCATGAATCTTTTTTCATTATTTTGAATTACAGGGTAAATTATTACATTTCTCATATTTCTTGTTGCTTGTGTTTGGGTAGACATTTAATTCTGATTTTTTCCGGTTAAACCTATTTCCAATATAAATCTTGTTTGCAAAAATTTGTCTTTTTTTGTTTATATACTAAAATTGCAAAAAAAGCTAAAAATGCTAAAAATATTTTATAAAAATGCTAAATAAAATGCCAAATGCTAAATTAAAATTTTGCAGCTAAATAAAAATAAAAAATGCTAAATCTAGCTGCAAAAATGCCAAAATGGTCACACTGATCTTCTATAATTTAGAACGTCCCAGCAAAAACTTCCATTACCTAGTAAGCTAGAAAGTAATATTGGAATCACGTGGAAACTAATTGCTCTTGGGGTGAATAACTAATTATTTTTGTTCGACGAGGTTCAAATAATATGCACCTACCTTAAACAAATTAATAAATGGTTACTAATTAGATTAGAAAAACTTTGCGAGTAATAGGTTATACACTCTGTAACAAATTACAAATAAAAAAATCCTCAGCCGGGATTTGAACCCAGGCATTCAGTTGTTTTCTATGTTTCTCCAGCCGCTTACACGATGCTCCATTAACATGTTGCTTTTTGTAATTTTGAGAACGACTTTTTACAAAAAAACATAAATGAATGTCATTTCGAAAAAAATCAAGGTTAGCAACCGTTTTGAAACGGTGATAAGGTAGCGGTATCGGTATTTTAACTTATTTCAGTATTGGTATTTTAGCGTTATAGGTATTTTCGCTTATTTTGGTATTGGTATTTTAGCGTTATCGGTATTTTGACTTATTTCGTTATTGATATTTTAGCGTTACCGGTATTGCACAAAAAAGATATTTTAGGGGTAATTTCGGTTTGATTTAAATGATTTAAAAATATGTTCATAAATGCATCAGCAGCAGCAAACTTTTAAATACAAGAAAATAACATTGGTATTATTGTTTATGTCTTTTTTTAATTTAAATTAAAAACAGTGTAAATAAATTTGTATTTTTTTAATTCATTCAGAGAGTCCTTTATTCGACTGTGCCGAATCTCATATACTCACCATAAAACTGTATGCCGAGAAAGGAATGCCCCTCATAAACATCAGGGTAATATTTGGAATATGGCTTAAGTCTATTATGGACCGAGCTCTTTTCAACTAACAAACTATTAATTTTTACAAAATTTTTTTGTTCAATTTTTAAACCGTGGGCGTAAGAGTAATTTTCTGAAGTGGGCCTTATATGCGTCAATTATAAACCGATACTCATAAAATTTTCTACATAGATTTTGTTTTGTATATACTTTTTATGTCGATTTTCATTACTATACTCGTACTTCTGAATCCTCAAGGTACAGGTCGCAATTTTCAAGATAATTGGATGAAATTTGGCACACTCTTTTTTCCCAAGGACGAAGCCTATTGAAAACGGTTAAAATCGGTCCATTATTTCACCTAGCCCCCATACAACAGATCCCCCCGAAAAGGGCTTCTGAGCTCATAATTATGTTACCTGTATATTGATAAATAGCGGTACAACTAAGTTTTATACAAGCCTTGATGACCTTGCCAAATTTCATAGAGATCGCACCTCATTTCACCCTAGCTCCCA